GAGTAGCAACATTGAACAGGTTCATGTCTCAAGCTAGCGAGAAATGCCTACCTTTCTTCAAAACACTAATGAAAGCCTTCGAATGGAGCCTAGTCTGTGAAGCTACCATCAAAGCCCTCGAGGAGTACATCAGCAAACCCCATATCCTTGTTAGACTATAGCAAGGAGAGAGTTTGTACGTGTATCTTATTGTGTCACAAGTAAAAGGGTTCAGCATTCGATCTACCTTGTAAGTCGAATGCTAAGGAGGGGTAGAATCTAGGTACCCAACGGTAGAAAAGGTAGCCTTTGCAATAATAAAATTTTCTAGGATGTTAAGGCCCTTCTTGTAGGTGCATATGATCGAACTGATAACAGATGTTCTCCTATGATAGATCCTTTAAAAGCCTGACCTATCCGAACGATTAGCAAAATGGTCCATCGATCTAGGAGAGTTTGACATATAGTATACACCATGGACTACTATGAAAGGAAAAGTAGTGGCTAACCTAATTGTAGAATTTTCAAATGAGACAGAAGAACCCATGGAAGTTGGCACCCAATCGATTAGTTGGAAGATATATGTATATAGGTCCTTTAATTCATCCGGAGGAAGGGCCGGTTTGATTCTTATCTATCCGACAAAAGAGAAGATTAAGTATACCCAACACTTTGGTTTCAAGGTTTGAAATAATGTGGCAAAATATGAAGCTTTCATTTCAAGTCTAAAGCTATCTAAGTTGCTCAGAGTAGAACACCAGCATACTTATACTGACTCACAACTACTGGTAAGACAGTTGCAAGGGGAATATGAGACTAGAGAGCCTCGAATGAATTCTTACTTAAACATTGTGAAGAAACTAGTACAAGAGTTTGAGCACTTTGAGGTCATCCAGATACCCCGGTCACAGAACCCCCATGCATATTTTCTATCACGATTAACTTTAGTTATGTCTGATGACCTAGAAAGGGCCATCTCTATAGAATTCTTGCAACAGTTGATCATTCAAGGCCTAGAAGCAAGCTAGATTTATGAAATATTCATATATTTATAGCACATAATTCTCTCTAAGACCTCTAGAAGGCAAGAAAGCTTCATAGTAGGGTGGCCAGGTACACAATACTAAACTAGGTGTTTTACAAGATAGGGTATTCACTCCCATACTTAAGGTGTTTGACTCCTAGTGAGGTAGCATATGTGCTCGAGGAGGTGCATAAAGGAATTTGTGGAAAATCACTTGGGAGGACACGCTTTCACAAAAAAAAGTGCTCAAACAAGGGTATTTCTAGTGCAGAGTGAAGAAGAACGCACAAAGCTATGTGCGAAAATTTGAGAAACATCAGAAATTCACTCTGAGCTCACCTTGATAATGATACCGTGGTTGTTCACTACTTGATCATTTTTCATTGTATTCCCTAGCCTCCTAACATCATCACTCAATGTGTATGGCTTATAGGAATGGGGGAGTGTCACTCTCCCTCGAAATGATGGGGAAAAAGGGGCAACGAAATGGTGGAATATGAATTGTACAAAATGTGTGTAATGTTGTGAACAAAAGTGCTCCCCAAACGCAAGAAGTCTTTTGAATGTCGTGTTTTACTTGGAAAAGTATTCCAAGGTCGTCTCCTCAGGGAAGGAAGGTGAGTTGTGTGAAAGTGATCTTGTCAAAAAGAGAAAAGTGTAAAATCTTTTGAGTTTTGAGTTTGGTGATTTGTGTTCTTGATGAAAATGAAATGGGAACAAGTGTTGGCTAATCTAAAGAGTTCACTCCAATTGGAATCCCAAATCAACTCGAAACCTTCCTCGAATGGTGCTTAGGTGAATGATTAATTTGTGGGAAGCTAGGGACGAGATGGAGGTGAGGACCCAAGCATAACCCGTGAGCAGGCCTATGAGATATCAAAGACTCACAACCCCATCCATCAACTCTCAACCCATTCAAACCGAACCATCGTACACCGAAAGGAGGAAAGGAAATGAGTTGAAATGGCAAACCCAATAGGAAGTCTCCCTTGGATTAGCGAACTAAAAATCTAGCTACTCATGAAAGCAAGAAAGAAATACATAATGTAAAGAGACATAATGAAGCATGAAACTTAACTTAATGCAAGAAATCTTAAACTATGATGAAAAATATTTAATACCTATTTCAAAGCTTGAAAATGAAGAAAGCATAAGACAACAATGGTGAAATCTTAAATGTGTAACTAAACTTGCAAGCACTTGAAATAAATGACATTAAGGACTTTAAATGAAGATTACAAGAGTCTTATAAGAAATCACAAGTGAACGGATGGAAGAAAATGCAAAAACTTAAATTTCTCACACTATGACACTATTCATCATCTTCTTCCTTGGGAGTTTTCTAAGCTTAGGTAGCCACCCCAAAATCTTTGTTGAATGCTGAATATATGGTGAAGAGCCTTGTATTTTCGTCCATGGAGGGTCCCCCTAGGTGTGTGCAGGCCTCCCATCAATGGGAGGTGAGTTTGATGGCTTTTGATAGGCTAAGAAGACCTTAGCCTACAGCTCTCCTGGCTGCCCCTTCCTTTCCCATCCTCATAAATGCAATAGCCTTCCAAGTCTTCAATAAGGGTGTAGAAGGCATGTAAATATGTAAGGGAAGTCAGGGGGAAAGTGGGAGAATCAATAGTGGGACCCCCAAGCAAGTGGAGAATGAAAAATAAGCGTTCTGGGCTGTTTTAGCAGACCGTACCGATATGTGTACCGGTACGTCGAACTCCAGTAGCCTCATTATACCGGTATGTGTACCGGTACACTTCTGCTTCAGAACAGTTTTTGTCGAATCATCATAACTTTTGATCCAACAGTCTAATTGTGTTGATAGTTTGATACAATACAGAAGACATCCAAATCTACAACTTTCATGTTTTGCACTTTTTCATATTCGAAGTGGATCATTGTCAAAAAGGAGGAGAACCGAGGTACTGCTACAAAATGGTGTGGCTGTTGATGCCTATGTTACCAAACACCAATACCTCCTTGATTTCTTTCACTTTTAAGCCTCCAAATCCTCATGTAATGTGTCCATCTCTTCACCACTCCTCCACACTTAGTTGCAAGGTTCTCAAATCCATCATTTAAGCTATGATTACCTGCAACATTGAAAATTCAACATTATTCATAATTTTGGCTAACTCTGAGTGCTTAGATGCAAAAGTTGAGTTAAAATTCATGTAATGAGGCCATCAAATATGCAATATTATGTGCTCATCATTTTCCCAACAGGGGATTGACATTATAGGACTACTCCCATTGGGGAAGGGTTAGAATAAGTTTGCAGTTATAGCCATAAACTACTTCACTAGGTGGTCCAAGGCAGAGCCCTTAGCAACAATCACTGAACAAAAAATTCAGGGATTTGTATGGAATTCAATTGTGTGCAGATTTGGCATCCCAATAGTCATCATCAGTGACAATGAAAAATAATTTGACAATAACCAATTTAGAAGGTTTTGCTCCGAGCTCGGAATCCACAACCATTATTCCTTTCTAGGTCACCCATAAGGCAATGGGCAGGCTAAGGTAATAATCTGAACTCTTATCAAAAGTATCAATACTAGGCTTGAACAGTCTAAAGGATTATGGGTAGTGCAACTCCCAAGTATCTTATGGGCTTATAGAACTACCTTTAGAATCTCCATAGGAGAAACCTGATTCTCCCTAGCATTCTGAACAAAAGCAATAATCCTAATGGGGATTGGAATGGACACATATAGAACTAAGGAATTCAATTCAATTCAGAACAACCAACAACTAGCTTGTAATCTAGATCTACTAGAAGAAAAGAGGGATGAATCATAGGTAAGAGTTGTAGGATACCATTATAGGGTGGCTAGATAGCGTAATTCTAGGGTAGATACCACAATTCTAGCATAGGATGGCTAGATATCACAATTCCATCCCGTATACATTCCTCCCAAATGATTTTTTTTTGAGGAAAGTAACCCTTGCTAAAAAAGATCCCAAGTAGGGGAAATTGGAAGCAACATGGGAAGGCCCATACAAAGTCATAAGACCTTGAGGCCTAGAACTTATTTCCTAAAGACTTTAGGAGTCAAGTTAGCTCACATTTGGGACACATGACATTTGAAGAAGTTATACTATTAATTATGCTTTTTCCTTTGATTGTAATAATGATTTCCATCTAGCTTTTTACTTGCATCAATAAACATGATTTTTTTCATCAAGCAAAACTTCAAGTCTCAAAGCCTTTTTGGGTATTGCATTAGAAAGATGTCCACCCTAGATTGATTGGATAAAGAAAATTATAAAACAACCTAGCCTAGCTGGGATTGAACCCAAAAGGTTCATTAGCAGCTTAAGGCACCTCGCCTAGCTCGGGTTGAATCTAAAAGGTTCATTAGTAGCTTAAGGCATCAAGCCTAGCTCAGATTGAACTCAAAAGGTTCATTAGTAGCTTAAGACACCTCACCTAGCTCGAATTGAACTCAAAAGGTTCGTAAGTAGCTTAAGGCACCTCACCTAGCTCAGATTGAACTCCAAAGGTTCATTATCAACTTAAGACACCGAGCCTTGCTTGGATTAAACTTGCGAGGTTCATTAGCAGCTCAAGGTTCACCTCGCCTAGCTCGAATTGAACTCAAAAGGTTCATTAGTAGCTTAACCAAGCCTACCTCGAATTAAACCTGTAAGGTCGTTAGCAGCTCAAGGCACCAAGCCTAGCTTGGATTGAACTCAAAAGGTTCTTTAGCAACTTAAGTCACCTCACCTAGCTCGGATTGAATCTAAGAGATTCATTAGCAGCTTAAGGCACCTTGCCTAGCTCGGATAAAGCCTAGAAGGCTCACTAGAAACTTTTTTTTAGAGATATGAGAATTATTTGCAACAAGGAACAAAGAAGTAATAAATAACTTGCTATATTAGTAAAGGTAATTTGATTAAAAAGGCACAAAATTATAGTTTTGAAAAGAAAAGAAAACCCTAATCTAATTTCACAACTAAAAGGCTCTCCTCTTCCAAGTCCTTTGCAGAAGCCTTATGCCTTGACCCTAGACTTTGCCTGGTCTTCAGGGTCCACCATAGTTGTATTGGTGGCCTCATCATTAGCTTCCTCTTCTTTCTCTCCTTCCTTCTTAAAGATCGAGGGAGGATCATCCTCAGATTGGATTTTTGAGAAGTCAAGATTTGGAAATGCACCTATGGTTCAAGCCCAAAATTCGTCAAAACTGCTATTATAATACTCAAGCATCTCTTTCCTAAAGTCAAAAAGTCCTTGAATTCCTTTACAACCGCATTGGTAGCAGCTTTGATAGCCTCAACAATTTCAGACTCTTTCTTTTCTAGGACATCGGAGAGCTTGAAAACCTTTTTCTTCAAGGCAGAAGAGAGCTTATAAACTTTCAGGGAAAGGGCCTCATTATCCTCTACTACCTTCTCTACATGAGAAGAGAGCTCTAAAGCATAACTTTTAGAGGTAGCAAGTTTCAACTCTAGGTCCTTCTTGTTGTCCAAGAACCTATTTCTCTTCTGGGTTACCTCATTCAAGCTAAGTTGTATCCCCTTTCTCGTTCAACTCTTGAAGAACCCTTTGTTGGGAAGCCACCAAGCTCTTCTGTAACGTGGACATCTTTTTCATCCAAAAATGCTTGTATTTTAATGTGTTGTTACTCTAATGATTCTTCTCAAGCGTAGTAAAATTCATCATGTAATAACTCAAAAAATACCGATGTCATCTCCACAGGGAAACAAGGACAAATTTGAAGAGTGACATGATGTAAACAAAAATTAAAACATTTTGATTTTCAAAGAAGGTGATGATTGATATATTTTGAAAATAACATTAGAACAAACTGAATAATTTTTGGATTTCATCTAACTGTGAATATGATTGTTTGACCCAATTTATAACTTATCTAAGATTTAGACGAAAAATATTCAACGAGAATCAGAATTTAGAAAATATGTGATTTAATTATAAAACTAATTTACAAAAAAAATTGATATCATGTTGATTACAGGGATTCCAAGTATTAACCTTGTCAAATTCAATTGTCAATGGTTAATCAAGGATCTTTATCACCCATGTTTTTAAAAATCAATTAATTCAATCAACAAAACAACACTACATATTTATACCCTCTTTAGGATCAAAATTATCCACTTACTCCCTCCTCCAATTGTGCCAGAATTAGACTACTCACACATATTATTAGTTAAATGGAGAACAATAATGAAAGACATGTCAATTGAAAGGAAAACAAAACTTATATTGAAACAAAAATTAAACCCAATACTTTAAAAAAAAAAATAAACCCAATACTTCATATCTCAACAAGAACTAAAAATTATTATAGAAAATGAGAAATAAAAAGTACTCTGTAATCGGGTAAAGAAGAAGAAAACGCTGAAGAGTCTATCTTTGTTCTCCACAAAAAATGTAGAAGGAGAGATGGGTTCCTTGTTCTCCTTGTATGCCTCCAAAGAAAAAGCTCCCTAGAAAGCAAAAAAAATGCTGAAGAAAAGATATCGGGAGATCCTCCCTTTTTTGGCCTAAAAAGGAAAATCAGAAGAGGAGAGAGATACAACTCATCCTCCTAAGATACTCCCCTCTTTCTTTTCATATTTCTTATCTATAGAAAATCTCTGAAAATATACCTTAAGATTTGGCCAATTGAAATTTCCAAGACTCCTTGTTGTGTTTAAATCTCTTGTGCCGATGCAAAGGGAAGGAAGAACCGGTAGGAGTACCCTCTGTTCATGATGAATCGATAGAAAGCAAATAGAACAAATAAAAGAGCTCTTTGTTGAACTGGTAGAAAAGGTTTCTATCTTTGATGAGCCGATATAACTATATTGTATCGTTAAAAGCTCTGTTTCTGCCTAATGAACCGGTACAAGTCCTACCGGTCCAACTACTATTTTTTTGTTTTTTTTGTTTTCGCGATGCTCCTGGTTCAATGTCTGCTCATCTTCGCAACTTCCCAGAGCTTCCAAATAATTTTAAAGCATCCTTCTTACACCAAGTTACCTGTAAATGCAAGATTTATTCATAAAACACAAACTCAGCTAAAATGAACATATAATTAACGAGCAAAACTAAAATGATTAGTTTGACACACAAAATTATACAAAAATGTGTACTCAACATTAGGTAAAGGAATTCCTTCTCGCAAGATTCCTACTCAACCAAGGCAGTATAAGAAATGCTTCTGGCAAGGATGACCAGCTACATGGATAGAAAAGCTGAGCATACTACTCACAAGTGGAGACTATGAAAAATAATAAGAGGGAGGAAAGTCTCACCTTCCCAATGGTCTCCTATAGAGCAGCTACTGCCTAGTTTGGCCCCATTTTAAAGATAATCTAAGTCTCATTGTTATCAATAAATTGAAGAAGATGAATTTTGGCCTCCTCTCCGTTCTCCCACATTGAAGGCCTAGAATTTTTAGGGCCCTACTTCTCTCCTCCACCAAAAGATTCAGTTTCAACAAGCTTCCCCTCCCCTTTAACTTTCAAAGGAGTAGGAGGGGAGTCAACGAGCAATAAAGGAACCTCAAGAATAGATGCTCCCCCTCGTATACTCTGGCAAGTTCCAGACCTACATCCCCTATAACCTTAGAGCTCGGAGAAACAAAGGGAAGCATTAAAGGATTACCAGATGGTGTGTCCGAACTAGGTAGAATAGTAGGAGGCACTAGAGGGCTAAAAACTAATGTTTTCAGCTTTGGGGAAGATAGTCTTGGTTTTTTACAATAGGGAGACCCACTTGCTAGATCTCTAGTGGCTTTAATCTCCTTCAGAAGCTTTTTATCAATAAATTTGGAAGCCATATATGTAAAAATACAGAAGTTAAAGCTCAAATTTAAAATTAAAAAAATGAGAAAGTGAAATAGAAGCTTACCGTTTAGGGTAGAAGGACTTGACATAAAAGGCACAATAACAGCTTTGCAGTACTGGCACTCAAACAAGGCTTGATCGTTGACCAAGTCAGGCAAGCTATTGGTATGATAAGCTAGGGCTCTCTTACTCGAACTTTGAGTTTAGTAGGAAGAGGGCTAGTTTTGCTTGCACCAAGCAAGTACATTAGTACGAGTTCATAAAGAAAAGAGGAAAATAAAAGAAAATAGCAACTCATAAAGAGAAAGGGGAGGAGTTCCCTAGAGGCGAGGGAACAAAAGAGGCCTTCTAGTGAGTGCCTCAAAGGGGCCGAACTCCCATCTAGTCCTGGACACAAAGAAGAATTTATGCTTTAATTCCTTCACGTTGGAGGAATAGCCACTGAGAAGCTCGATTTTCGCAATTTGAAAGGTAGAACCACACTTTGCTCTACCTAGAGTAGGGTATGAGCTTGTACCAATGGAGGGTGAACACATACACAATTGGCTCTTGCCCGGAGAACACCAATGCCAACCAAAAATTCTCAGTTGTTAAAAGTTAACTAAGAAGGGCCAAAGTTTAGATAATGGAAAGATTCCCTAATATATTGTGGCATAGGGAATCAAAGACCGCTCTCAAAAATCAATTCGTAAAAATAGGCTTCATTGGGTCCAAAGGAATCAGTAGTTTCTTCCAAAGAAGGAAGACTAAGGGGAAGAGAGTGGGGGATTTGGTAGAGCTCCCTAATTTCCTCTAGTGCCTTTTTGCTAAGAGAAATTTGTTATTTCTTTGCCCCCACAATGATAATGGATGAAGAAACAATCTCCAGAATGGAGTTAGGTACCTTCTTGGCCCTATCAACCTCAAAAACAAAAGAAGGGGTGCTCCCAGAAAGAGTTCGCTCCAAATCAATAAGCAGTGGTGATGAATGTACAAATTAGAAGGAAGAAGACAAGTGGAGTTATAAGAAAGAAGAGACAAGCAGGAAGCAAAGACAGATTCAAGTCAAGTCTAAGATAATTGATCACCGAAGAGGTTCAGGTGATGAAGGTCGTAACTGTTCCAAAAATAGTTGAAACGGAATTGAAAGGTATTACTCCAACATAAATACTCCAGCATAAAGAGGTCAAGAAAATCAATAAGATCAACATCAAGGAAGAGAGGTGTGCCCAGGCTCTTGGATGAGTTCTTGAAGCATGCTAGACTCTGATAGTGAGATGTGTTCAAATGCCAGCCACACACAATGGGAAAAAGGCACGTGCTCAAAATGCCAAGCTCAATAGCTCAAATTACCTCTAGATTGGCATCTAACCATCCCCTATCCCCTGAAGCTCAAAAAAGTCCTGCCCCTAAAAGGACTTTGATTAGTTCAACTAAACTATCACTTCCACTTAGCCAGCAAGTCTAGGTCAAGCAAGTAGAGCACAATAAATTCAATTCGAATCAGTAGAGTAAGATCTTCTACTAGCCTAATCAAATGGCCTATAAGAGGTTAACCCATAGAGGTAATGAAGGTAAGTGAATAAAATGCCAACACGAGCTTTCTATGATTCCTCGAACATTCCTTATTGACTTTGCCATTGGAGGGTCGACCCCTAGTGTCCCTTCGGTCTCTAACTTCCCATTGTACATACCAGGAGGATGGATCCAGCTCTCAATAGCATCTGGAGCTCAGTGAATATTCTAAACCATAGTCAATCACCATCCATCTCTTTTCTTGAACAAACTACTAGAATTGTCACACCCCAAATTTTTAGCTCAATTCTTGAAGGTGAATTAAAACCATATTTTACTACCTCAACATAAATGTAATCAATCATAATTGTAATCTTTGCTCATACTAAAAGATCAAGGTTTGACATACAAATAAATAAACAAGTCTAAAACTACGAAGTCCTTCAAATCAATCTGTTTTGATAGATCCAAATTGCCAACATATTGCTTAATTGATTTATCAAATCTAGAAAATAGATAAATAATAGAGTGAGCAAACAATATAATCTTTAGGTAAATCATATTAAAAAGTAAACTAAGTATGTGCAGTTACTCGAAAAGTACTTTTATTACATAAATAAAAAATACTTCATCGAGCATTGAAAAATATTCTGTTACATTGTTGAAAGAAGAACCAATCCTAAGATATCACAATATAAATCACATTAAATGCATTAGTGACTTTTGCCTTAGGAATATATGATCCCTTTTGTATTAGCTAGAAGCCAAGCTCAAAAACAATTGGCTATTAGCACAACAGTCCATTCTATAGCAAAACAGATCGGCTCAACAATAGGTCTTCCCATGCAACAAGTGTGGTCTCTCATCTGTTCAAAGTAGTTGCATCAAACATTTCTTCATCTACTTCTTCACTGTAATCTCCAATTTTTATTTTGTCAAACATATGTAATATTGTCTTTGTTCAATTGGACTCGACAAATTATGTGCCATGGAAGTTTCAGATCTCTTCCTTACTATGAGCAACTTCACTCTTTGGTTTTCTTGATGGTTCAAATCTATGTCCAGAGCAATTTATTCATGATGAAGTAGGATCTATTACATCATAAGACAATCCTTCCTATGACCCCTGAATCTTATAAGATCAAGCTCTTATTATTCTAATTTATGTGATTCTTTCTCAGTTTGCACTTGCTTAGGTAGATGGATACAC